GCATAATAACCATTTGAATGTAACAGCTGCTCTACACCCCCATTTAGCATCTGTCCTTCTGAAATGTTCTGCTTTTGCAGCAGTGCCAAATGTACATTTGCCTGTATCTTCAGTCTACTGGTTATTTGTGAACTGTTCTTTTGACTGCTTTGACATTATTTTTGTCAATGTGCTTTTAATTACCCCATGGTAATGTTTGTGCTTCCTGAATAGATTACTGAAATCTTTTCAAGAAGAGACTAGCACAGGGTTTGGCAACCCCTGGCATGCATGCCAATGCGGCACATAAAGGCATTTGGCTTGGCATATGCACCATAAGGCGGACAGCGGGGAAGGAGCTGGGCCTGCACTGCCACAAGAAGGATCAGGTCCCTTGCAGATCTCCCACTGTCCTCCTGGAGGCATGCTTGCACCTGCTGCCAGCAACAAGCTGGGCTGGGATGCCACAGACCCTGGTGAAGCTGCTGGCGTCTCCCTGCTGCCTGTTGTGAGCAGCCCAGGATCCATGGAGGTGGTAGGGCCCTGCCCTAGGCAGGCAGCCAGGAAGCTGCAAACAGCTGAACTGGGGCTGCAGAGCCCCAGCCCAGCTTGTCACTGGTGACAGGTGCATGCACAGCTGAGGTAGACAGCAGGGGAGCTGCAAGCAGCCCGATCCTTCTTGTGGCAGCGCAGCCCAGGCCTTTCTCTGCCATCCGCCCCGAAGCATATGTGCACCCGCCACCAGTAAAAAGCTAGGCCAGGGCTCTGCAGAGCCCTGGTGCAACTGCTTGCACCTCCCGGCTGCCTGCCACAGCTGGCCTGGTCTCTGGGCAGGCCCCTGCTGCCCACCAGAGAGCCCAGGCTGCTCACAGCAGGTGGCGGGGAGGCTGCAAGCAGCTGCACTGGGATCTGTGGAAACCTGGCGTGGCTTATTGCTGGCGGCAGGTGCACGCGCATGTTGGGGCAGACGGTGGAGTAGGGGCCCAGGTTGTGCTGTCACAGGATTGAGCCCTTGTGGCTCCCCCGCCATCCACCCCTGGCATGCCAGCATCTTCCAAGTAGGGGTTGCAGGTATTTTTGGCACTCTGTCCAAAATGTTGCCAACCCCTGGACTAGCAGATAGTGTCCAGTGGGCAACCAGTAACACGTTTTTGGTTTTGATTTGGTTTCTGGGCAAATTATTTGTGCTAAAATCTCTTAAACTTCATAGGATTAATTGTCCCCCCATAAATTCCAGGCAGTTGTCCAAATATTAGTAAATGGCCAATAGTCTCTCCACACAAATCATAGTGAACTGAATTCAGTCTGTTTATTCACTAACTTTTTTTGCTAATTAAGCTAGTTTTGTTCATTTCTATTTTTTTCTTTTGTTTAATCCTTCATATGTGCCAACATTTTTCCCATAGATAACGTACCATACTAGGGAGTTTTTCAAAACAAATATATTATGACCCAGTACCAAAGTTTCACTTGTAGTTCAGAATAGTAAACCTATGAACGCTCTTAAGCAAAATATTTAAATACTTCCCGCAGTGTTGGGTTGTCGGTCAAAATAAAATAAAATGGTTTAGGTTTCCTATGATATATGAGGTTCCGTGAACTTATATGCAGTTGACAGGAAAACTTCCACATTTCCTTAACTACAGTTAAAGGGATGAATTTGGTTTGGGAAATTCTGAGCTTCCCCAGGACTGGTAGCAGAAATATATTTTCTGCTGATCTTACGAAGTAGAGGTGAGTGGACACCAGGAGAATATTGTGTAATTGATGTGCATCAGTCACCAGATACTTCTGAACATCAAAGAGAACCCAAAAATATCTCCTGCAGACCCAATATTCCCATAAGCAAAACTACAGAAGACTAAAAAGAAGGGTTGAAAGGTTATAAGGTCTTTGACAGGTGACTCATGGTAGGGAAATACCTGGAACCAGTGATAATACTGCAATATTCAAATTTATGAGCTTGGAGTATCATGATGCAAATAGTAACATTTTCTCACATTTCCACTTGCAGGTATATTTATAGAAGGATCACACCATACCTTATTCTCTCTCCTCTTTTCATAGATCCTGCATTTAATAATCTGACCAGCTTTTAAAAATACATAATTAAGTCATTGTTGTTTAAAGTGGAATTCTGTTGCATTGAGAGTGTTTTAAAATGGGTATACTTTTGTAACACCATCCAATTTTATCTACCAGTGTAACTGCATCAATTCATTCTCCTAATAAAGATGTATTTAACATCAGTGTTTAAAAAGGATGGTCCAGTGTATGTAGGGCTAACCTGGGATTTGGGAAACCTTGCCCCACAGAGTTCTGTGAGACATTGGGTTAAGTGACTAATCCAGTGGTTCTCGACCTTTTTAGGCACAAGGCACCCCTTGATGGACTCAGTGCACCCTCCAGAAAATGCTAGTTCTTATTTTTAACTTGTTTTTTTACTATAGAAAAATAATAGATCAATTCTTGTTGCAGAAAACTTAGACCACAAAAGGTCAGAATGGTTTTTAACATTATGGATTTCTATTCAAAATAGACATGCCTAACGCAGGAGGTATATGATCCCACTAAGGGAAATGCCTTGCTGGACTTGGTGTTAGCTACAGGGGATGACTTGGTGGGGAATAAAAAGTAGATGTCATCTACCTAGACTTTAAGAAGGCCTTCAATACAGTATCACATTCTGTTCTTGTAAATAAACTGACAGGCTGTGGTGTAGATGATAACACAGTCAGGTGGGTGACAAATTGGCTTGGGGGTCGCACCCAGAGAGTGGTGGTGGATGGGTCAATATTGACCTGGAAAGATGTGGACATTGGAGTCCCGAACGCTTGGTCCTTAGACCGGTGCTATTCAATGTCTTCATCAGTGACTTGGACAAGGGCGTGGAGAGCACCCTGTCCAAGCTCACAAATCATACCAAATTTTGGGGCAGTGTTAATACATCAGACAGTAGGGAACAGATCCAGGCTGATCTGGACAGGTTGGAAAAATGGGCAGAACAAAATAGGATGCAGTTCAACAAAGACAAGTGCAAAGTGCTGCACCTGGGCAAAAAGAGCCACCAACACACTTACAGACTGGGGGATGACCTTCCCAGCAGCACAGCCCTGGAAAGGGATCTTGGAGTCATAGTTGACTCCCAGATGAACATGAGTCAATGTGACGAAGTGATCAACAAAGCTAACTGCACTTTATCATGCATTAGCAGATGCATGACGAACAGGTGCAGGGGATGCTTCCCCTCTATGCGGCACTGGATAGACCGCAGTTGGAGTACTGCATCCAGTTTTGGGCGCCACACTTCAAGAGGGATGCGGAGAATCTTGAGAGGGTTCAGAGGAGGGCAACTCGTATGGTCAGAGGCCTGCAGGCAAGGCCCTACAAGGAGAGACTCAGGGACCTAGATCTCTTCAGCCTTGGCAAGAGAAGGCTGAGAGGTGATCCTGTGGCTGCCTATACATTCATCAGGGGAAGGCAGCAGGGAATAGGAGATGCTCTATTTACTAGGGCATCCCCTGAAGTAACTAGGAACAATGGCCACAAATTGACAGAGAGCAGATTTAGGCTGGACATTAGAAAGAACTTCACAGTAAGAGTTGCCAGAATCTGGAATGTGCTTCCAAGGGAGGTGGTGCTCTTCCCTACCCTGGGGGTCTTCAAGAGGAGACTGGACAAGCACCTAGCTGGGGTTGTCTGACCCCAGCGCACTTTCCTGCCCAGGGCAGGGGGTTGGACTCAACGACCTTCTGAGGTCCCTTCCGACCCTAACATCTATGAATTTATGAAGTATCTGTGTTTACCTTGTGAATTGTGTAGGCATTGGCCCACCTAACAGTGCTATTAATGCTCGACAAGGATTTCATGGCTATGGGACACTGGTTGAGAATCACTCAACTGATGAGTCTTCTACTATACCGCAGTTCCCCGTCTTTGAAATGGGAATACTCCATGACATGATCTGTGGTTAGAAGGAAGGGAGTCATATAACTACACATTACAGGAAGGCCAGATGCTTAGGCCGACATGTAAATCTGGTATAGTTTTCCTCAAAATTCTTTTACTTCCATATATGGTCAGAGGACTGGAAGGGGCCTTTCTGGTCATTGAATCCTCCATTGAATTGCAAGGAGTTATTTATTGAACCATCTTCCCTCCAATATATTTTTTTAATTTATCATTTTGAAACTCCTCATTTTCTCTGTTCATTTACCTAAACAAAAATAAATGTCAAAACCTCCTCCTCCCTCCCTTATTATGTTCAAAACTAAGTTGTCATCTGTAGGTTTGGACTGAACAGAGCAGACCTGCTTATATTATATGGCTTCATTTTGATCTTAGGTTGGAGAAAAATCCAGGATAATTTTATTGCACTCAGTGGAATTATGCCCATGTAAAACCTGCATAGATGAAAATGGAATCAGGCTTCATGTCTCCACTGCTACATGCAAAACACGACCAAAGATGCACATTTTTAATACAAACTAAAATGTAAACATGAAATTGTTCACATTTTAGACAAGCTCCTGTTGTTTAACTCATTGTCATTGTTGCTTTGTATATGGAAAAAGAAAGGGTAATTTTACCCTCACTTGGAATAGTTTGTGTGTGTATTGTGTCAACATGCCAGTATAGAATAGTCTCAGTGTTCACTGAGGATTCACTTGTCTGGCTTAGGTGGGCATTTCTGTTCCTTGGCTCGTGATTTAGAAGCTAATCGTAGAAAACAACTAAATGGAGGGATTTTTATTTAAGAAGTAGAAAGAAAGCAAGAAAGAAGCAAAGTGAACTACTGTTTTCTTCCACTTTTCATTTCTTTACATCATGTCTGCACCACATGCTATGGCTTGTAATTTTCTAAGATATATAAAATTACTACACATATAACTATCACAAAACAGTAGTTCTCTGTATGTGCTGCATTAGCAGTAAAATCTGAAAGAAGCATTGCAAGTTGATTGCCCAAATACATATCCCTTCTAAAGTCAAAATTCCAATCCTTCTGTTTCTTTTTTCAGATGTATCCACTCCAAAGTCTTCAAGAAAATTAGCAGATAGCTCCATAGTGAATGGTGGCTTGACACCCCAAGGAAAGCTGAATGGTCTTGGCACTACCCAAGTGACAGGACAGCGAAAGAGACTCCTTAAAGCCCCTACTTTGGCTGAACTGGACAGTTCAGATTCTGAGGTAAGACATCTTTGTGCTCAGCTTACTTTCAGAATTTAATTTAATTACTGTTTGATGGACAAAATAATCTGAGTTCATGAATTCATAGGTGGTGGTGGTCACTGATGTTGACTTTTTAAGTTATAATGAGGATTGGATTACAGTATTGCCAGTTCCCCAAAATTCAGCCTCCCCAGATGTCTTATATATGATTTAATCTTTTTGGCCTTTTATCTACTTCTTTAATTCCCAGTATTTGCTAACACTATGTGGACATAATGATAACATGGTTGGCAGTTTTCTAAATATGTTGAAAATAACATGATGTTGGCTCCCATGCAGAAGTTTTTGTGCTGTACTCTGAACAAACCCATAGTAAGAGCTTATGTCTGGGCTGTCTGGAAGAGCTTATGATTAAGGAGAGAGTGGATAGAAGAATACTGAAGTGATATGGGAGCTGCATCTGGGACCCATCAAATTGTTATATGTGAAGGCAGTCAAACTTCCTTTAAATGGGAATGGCTTTGAATCCAGCTAACTCAGCCAGAGAGCAGATGAGCTATAGAAAAAAAAGCTATGTAGATCATTATCAAAACCCTAAGGAGTAATGACAATACATCCTGGAGAAGGGAGACAGCTAAATCACCTGCACGTTGCTCTGTCTGTTAACTACTCTTTGCAGTTTTTAATAAGATACCTCCCACTGACCAAATACTAATGCTAAAAAGGGAACAATGAGCCAAGTATTACCACAACATCCAAATTCATTTCTAAATATGTCATCAGCAGGGTCTGGACCCACAAACTACAAATCATCAGTACAGATTTTTCACTTAAGTTGTACAAGTATTTTGTAAAGAAAATGCACTAGTACCTACTATGGGGATCAACCTGGAAAGATTTGCAAGGCAGGTTACACAGCCATTTGTGTGGCAGCAGTAGAGTGATGAATCCTTAATTTTTACACCTGTTTTGGGACCACAGTGTGTTGCTGAGGTTAAGGAAGCATAACTGCATGTAACTGTGTTGTGGGTCATCTGGTACCTGTGTTTGGATGTAAAAGTATGAGTTTCTTATCACTTATACTAAAGAACCAGGTCTGTTAGTCTGAAGGCAGCCTCAGTCAAGCTGTTATAAACCTCTTTTTTTGGTCTAGCTTTTAGAGGGTGACAGGATCTCTTTATATTTGTGGGAGTTATATAAGTGATAATTTGACATGTTCATGTTGAAAGAGTGCAACCAAATGGACGAGACTTGGGCTCTATTTCCAGCTTGGCCTGAAGTATAACTTCTCATCTTTCTATAAATGAGTGAACAATAGTAAGTGCATGAGATCTTGTTAATAAAAAAGACATTGTGAGATAAGTAATGGCAGCAGTAAGTGAAAGAGCCAGGACTAGAATTCATGGTCTCCCAGCTTGCAGTTTGCTGCATTTCCTCCCAAGCTAATATATCATATTTGACTTGGAGAAATGAGCTTAAATCAATAAAAAGAGATTTGGTAAAGATGCATGTAAACTGATTCTTGTAGGCACGAATAATCAAACGCTCAAGTATATGCTGGGGAATTCGCTTTGTGCAGGAGTGTCATTTAGAGAAGGCTCTGAGGGATACAGCAGAAGATAAATAGGAAGTAAGTTGTCCATGCAATGCAATTGCAAAAAAGAAAAAAAGTGCTATGTGGGTTTGAATGACCAGAAGTAGATTGTGAAACAACCAAGGTAATTGGGCTGCTTTGTTACTGTAGTGGCTGTGCCTTGGTGTAATGCTATGTTCAGTGTTAAAATAATAAAAAAGATTAATTAATTGGAAAGTTCAAAAGGAAGTTATTAAACTGACAGAAAAGTTGAAGAATGCTGTAGAACAAGGGTGGCCAACCTGTGGCATTGGTATCACAAGTGATACAGGCAGCCTGTGTGTGTAGCATGAGGCAGATTGGGGAGGGGAGAGACAGTACACTGGCAGAACAGGGAGCAGAAAGCAGAGCATCAGATCAGGCAGGGAGAATAGGGAAGGAAGCAGAAAGCAGCAGCGAGTTGGTCATGGAACAGAAAGTTGAAAATGAGATTGGGTAAAGGAAAGGGATCAAAGTGGCACTTGGAAGGTGTGGAGTTAATTTGTGTTATGTCTGTCAAAAAGGATGGCCCCCACTGCTGTAGAGGATAAAGGAGAAGTGAGATGCTGAAATATATTTCTTTGCTGACCTAATTTGTGGTATATATAACTAGGGGCGGATGCAGTATTCTAATGGCCTATGAATGACTCAGACACTTCCATGCTTACAACTGCACAGGGAGTGAATTGCTAGTCTCTTTAGAATTACTCATTAGGAGTTTAATTATAACTACATTCCTCCATAAATAAGAGGTGGCATGTAGCTGTCCCACCCCAGCAGAACAGAGGATGAGTGGTGCCTCAGTCACAAGGCTTTCCCTTTGTACTATGGAGGAGTTTGTTTTGTAAGCTTCTCCTCCCTCCTCACTAGGCAATTACCTTCCCCTGTACATCTAAACAGCTGGAGGTTTGCAGCTCCCTCCCTGCCCAGTTGCTTGCAAGGCTGAATACCAAACAAGCATGCCTGTTCTCTTCTAATTCGTTATTGTAATACGAGTCACAGTCTGAGTAGGAGATTTAGGAGAGCCATACTCTCCTACCCTTTGTATTTTAAAGAACTATAGAAATAATCTCCTAATGGACAACACACATGAGTTTACCTGATGACAGTAGCAGTGATACCTTCAGATGACCCCTGGGGTCATGCCTCTAAGGGTGTGTGTAGACAACACAGGCGTTAACGTAGAGCCCCTAAAAATGTTAACGTAGATAGGGCTTTCTGAGTAGATATGAGGCTGTGGTTACTTGGCTCTAGATCCAAATGTGTCCAGAAGTGTCATCAAAGATTCTGGTCTCGCCTCTGTCTACATTAAAAATCAACAGCACAATACTAGTATATGTAAATTTCTCTTAAGATTTACTAATAATTACTGTACCTGATTTGCTAATATTTATTTGAGAGCCTACAACTCTCTCTAGTGATCACAGGGCAACAAAATAGTTCATATACTCATTGCACATGAGGCTTACAGGGAGTAAAGTAATTTAAAATATGAACATGAGATATTTTTACCTAAGCAGACTTGGCATTTGTAACATAACTATATCCATAGCTCTCGTTCTTCCCGAAGCAGGTTAGTCATGTTTGACGTCTGTTGCTTCTGAGCAGAGTCCATCCCACCACTGAAGCAGCTGCAAATCCATTCATTTCTACTACTTAAAGAAGTTGAATCCTGAGGGGTCTGCCAGAGGCAGTAGATGGAAATCTCATTTTCATAGTGTTGTTCTCCACCACTTTCATCCTACTTTTCTGTGGTACCTGGATAGGTGGTTGCTTGGTCAGAGCTGCCCCCAGCTTCCCACTTTGTGGAAAGAGCAGCAATTCCACGAAGTGGGAAGCAACACAAATTACAGTAGACCGTTCTGGGCCATTCAATTCTATAGTAGTCAGTAGCAAAATTCCCACTAATGCCAATGGACAAGAGGATGAGGACATCTGTCTACTGCATAGCCTAGTCCAGTGGGGGCTAGCCTTTTTGGCAGGCCTAGCACAAATTAAGTCCTTTACCCTCCTTGGTGCCACTGCAGTCCCCTTCTGCTGCCCGATCTGCTCTGCTTTCTTCCCCGCTGCTGATCTGGTGCTCTGCTTGCTGCTTCCTGTATTATCTCTTGCTGTGCTGCCTGCCCCTAATCTGCCATGTACCCCACACACAGGCTGCCTGTGCCACTTTCAGCACATGTACCAAAGATTGGCCACCCATGGCCTGGCCAGTTGGGGTAAGGCAGCATCTGACTAAATCCCACACTTACCAGTAGAATAAGAAATCGTCTAAATTTTTAAGAGGTGTTTTTCAACAACAAACGTCAGAAGTTTTTTTCAACGGGAAGATATAATTAGAAATGTTCATGGTTTGCAATTTTTCCTTCTTTACAAAAATAAAAGTAGTCCTGTTGCTATTTTCAGTGTTACCATTTATTTTTCCCTCCCTAGACTCCTCCAGTGACAAATTTTCAATGGCAAAATAAAAAGGCAGAGAAAAAGGAGAACAAAAGCTCAGAGAACAAAACCCCAGAAGACAAAAGTCAAACTTTTCAGCACAAATAAGCACATATGTTTTCACCTGCTTAGAATGACATTTCTGCGAGAAAGGAGGAACGGGGAGAGGGTCATGGCTTACATTTCTTTAATTTTTTTTGTCCACACTCCTATGGGGGGGTCCCATGCCACAGAGCCAGGTCTCCCTCAGCTGCTTTTCTTCCAGCCTGAACCACAGGCTCTTGCACCCCTCTGCTTTTACAGATTGAGTGGAGAGTGGCATCAATTATTCAAAATTAAATAAAAAAGCGTACTGGCAGATTTAAAAAAATGTCTTTATCTTAATATTTTAGCTACTTATTTCCTCTGCTTATGGACAAAATAAATAGTCATCTTTGTGACTATATACTAGTCTTGGTACCTTTTGCCTCATAAGAAGTTTTAATTTTCAGAAAGGTAAAAGTTCACCATTGCAGTTTGAACAGCAATTCTTCTTTTTCACGAAGTTTACACTAATTGGCTGTGGTGGAGTGTCTGGGAACCCTCCTTTCAATCTGCTGAATGTTTTCAGATAGCTTTTAAGTTTTCATGCAACTCTTTTGAAATTTTTGCTGTGACCTTTTCTTGGTTATTGCATAGAAGATCACCTGATCATAATTTGTGACGCCTCCTGGCCTGTGGCGCCTTTTGTTCATGTGATATTTCTAACAACTTTCCCTTCTGATTTTCCATAACTAGAGGAGGTATTGTTTCAGTCACTACAGACTTGCCTGCTTGAGATTCATGTGACTTTAAGTCTGTCCCTGGAAGGGAGCCTCAGTTGCTTGCTTGTTTTCTGACTGAGTCACTTTGTTTGACTTGTAAACCCAAGAGTATAAACGGTAACTGCGTACAAGCCTCCTTTGCCAAGAGCATTTGTCTTAGAACTAAACGATGTCCCCAACCTTTTCTTCAACCCTATGTTCTTTCTACAGACATTTGTAATATCAAGCCTTCTTTACTAAGAGCATTTATCTTAAGCCTGAACAGGGTTCACAACCATTTCTTCAACCCTATTTGCTCTCTGGAAGCACCAGTAATATCCTATAAGTTCTTTGTATTGAGTATTTAAATAACAGGTTATAGGTAAGGGCAGTTTGTAAAGCTAATAATTCATCAGGAAGCACAACTCTCCAGACACCCATTAACTGAAAGATGTTAGTCAAAGCCTATTTCACTCTCATTCATCTCCCACCACTTGCTAGTGCTTGGTTGCTGTGGTGAGAACATACTTAACCTAATGAATGAAATGTCTTTAAGCACAGAAGGAAGGAGAAATGCATGAGAATTAGAGATTAGAGAACAGTGCAGTAAAGATAAGTGATTAGATTAATTTGTCTTTACTGAGTCATATATTGTCTTAGGGTCATGCTTCATTTCTTTGGAGACCAGAAAATGCCACGTGCTTGTTTCTTGCCAGTATGAAATAATAAACTTGAATTAATTTGGCACTGTGCTTGAAAATATCTGCTAGGCCCTCAGTATCCAGAGCAGTTACTTAAGGAAAAGGCAGATTACAACACTCACTTAGGTTCTATTCTTGGTCTTTATAATGCAGTTGAATATATTGAGCTCTTGAGCTGTGCACCATATATTCCAATTACCAGCAAAAAATATATCTTGAAAAAGATGCTTACACAAGACTGCCTAACTTCAACATTTTTCTTGAATTGTCTTAGAAGACAAGTGGTTTAATGATGTGATATACCACTGACATTAGTTTTGCATGTAGGGGTAAGAGAGAGAGACTGAGTATGAGGAATTCTAACCCTTCCAATTTTTTTTGCTCCCAGGAGGAATCTATGCACAAATCAACAAGCAGCAGCAGCGCGTCTCCCACACAATTGGAAGATGCTTCTCAAGAGAGCAGGAGGAGTAAGTGCTCAGTATCTAGACAATCATGTTTAAATAAAACGAGGCTAAGCTGTTTCGCTCTCCTGCCTCCTGTTGTTTTCTGTCATATGAACTTTGCCTGAATGTCTTTTGCAAAAAGATGGAACAGGTTGGTGTTAATTGATAAGGCTGTTTCTAGAGTAAGAAACCCCTTTTTTGTGAGTGTGCTTATTTCAGATAGGTTAAAAATTTTGGCCATTGACAGCTGCACAGAGATACTCTGTTGTTTTGGCAAATGTTTGTGACATCTAACCATTTTTTTTTCCACCAAAACTATGGCTATTATCATTGCTGAACAATAGTATTTCATAGTTTTTTCATTAGAGGTAACTTATGGTGGTTGAATCTTTAGTGCCTCCGAAGTTCTTGCCAATATCGTCTACACCTCAGCCAGAGAGGCGGCAACCTCCTCAGAGACGACATTCAATTGAAAAGGAAACTCCAACTAATGTGAGACAATTCCTGCCACCTTCGAAACAGAGCTCAAGGTCACTTGTAAGTAGTACAGAGTTATCTTTGAATGTTGGCTATAGTGAGAAGCTATAGTTGCGATAAGAGAGAGACATTTTCTAGTAGTTTATATAGAATTAAAACTTGGCTACAGTGTTATTAGAGCTGGATCCAAAGCAAGATCCCAGTTACAAACCCAGTTTTACACATTGGGGGAGTTTTAGGGGAATTCAGAATTTGAACTTTCTCTAAAATATTAAACCAAACCTCCTGGGTTCAGATACCTCAGGACTTCAAAGAGATTTGGCTTCTGATTTGAGCTTTGTGACTGAGGCCCATTATTTTGTTTTTTAATTTCAGCATGGTAAAGAAACTAACTTACCTTATAATTGACAGATATTTCATTTGAAATGAGGCAATTTCAAAGCAGTCAATCTATGTTCTTATTATTGGAGTATTGTCATTCATGTGTAAACACATGGAGCGGGTTTCTCTTCCTCCCATGTTAACAACTAATACAGTTAAAATTTCTGTATGTAAAAGATGTCAGGCATCTATATCAGTTGTGACCACATTGTATTGTTGGACTCACTAAGGCAAAAACTGCTTTGCTACTTGAGAAGAAAGTGCAGTGCATTTGAACAAATAAATTTAATTGAGAACTGTTTTCCAGCAGAGCATAAATGGCACAGCAGATGAAAAGTTGGCTCTTTGTCCTGGCATGATGAATAGAGCTTTGCCACTTTGTGTCAGATGCCCAGGTTGTGTTCCTAGTCTCTTATTTTCCTTATCACCAGGGACTCAGCGTGCTGCTTTGAAGTTTTAGCATATGGTAGATTTACAGAAGCGTTCCCGTTCTAAAAGGGAGGGAGTACCTGCCAGTCCTTGCTCTTACTTAAGTGCCACTAATGGGCTTTGAAGGGACTCCATGTTATTTTTCTTTGGCCCGAGAGAGAGTGACTGACTGTAGTGCAAATCCATCAAGGTGAGAAGGTTGAAGTGTAGTAATTATGTAGTCTTCAAATATACTGAGGAAGGTTCACCCACTTCTCTGCAAGGAATAAATTGGCTCTCTTTACCACACTTCTACCCTGACTACAATTTATGTGAATGGCGTTCTGGAGTCCCCGCTCGTAGCTTAAGGAGCGTGCAGCACAGCTAGAATTCTTTGCCCAAGTGTTAGCTTAAGGAGTGACTTGAGAGGAGGGTTTCCCTCAGGGCTGCTTGGGACACAAGCAGTGAAAAGAGGATTTTGGCCGTCACTCTGGATCAGGAGATGTTTTTACTTGGGGAACTATAGGCTTTCACAGGCCCATCATTAAAAGGGGAAAAAGCAATATGTCCTACCTCGAGGTGTTGACTGTTTTACACTTTTCAGATATCTGAACAAGTTAGATCACGGGTAGGCAACCCCCAGCATGGGTGCCAGTGTAGCATGCGAAGGCATTTTGCTGGGCATGTGCACCTTGGAGTGAACAGTGGGGAAGGGGCCAGGGCTACACTACCACAACAAGGATTGGGCCCCTCGTGCTTCCCAGCCATCTGCCCCTGGCACGCCAACATTTTACAAGTTGAGGTTGTGGGTATTTTTGGTACCCTGCCCAAAAATGTGGCCGACCCCCGAGTTAGATTATGATACTGATTCCATGCAACTTGCCAATATCTTCTAAACAAGACAGTGCTTGAAAGCCCTTGCAACTTAAAAAACTCACATATAAGGTCCTTATTTTAGTCAGCTTGATCAGGTTCTTGACAAAAATGTGTTTTCCTGCTGTGAAACTATTTGTTGATATTTGGCATCTGTAAGGCACTGTTTATAAAGGAGAGAGTGTATAATAAAACCAATACAGTCAAATTCTAATTGGCTTACACAGAGGTAGAATTGAGCAAAAGCAGGAAAATATCTGAAGGAGTCCAAAGTGTGTGGCTTAAAAAATATTCAGAACATGCAAGGATGATTTGTTTTTTGTTTTTTTGTTTATTTTCTTTACCTCTTAGGAGCTGGTCCTCCCCCAGCCCACTTGCTAGCAACATTTTTGTGTAGGAAAAAAAATGGTGGTAATGATCTTTTACTGACACTTTTTTCCTTAGCTGCTGATGAATTTATTTGTTAATCTTAGCAGTTTTTCCCTCATGGTGTGCACAGTTATTCAGAAGAAGGTTTTTTGTTTAGTTCAATACAGTGTTTTGGTACTGACTGTAAATTAGCTAGCCACTCCACCCTGACATAAAACTCCTGCTTATGAAAGCTGCAGGAGTTTTATGTTTGACTTTTTATTTGACTTCACACTTCTTCATCCCTTCCTCCAGGATTGATGGAGTTTCATTTCTTATCATCTGTTCCAGTGACTGCAGTTCCCCTTGAAGGTGAAAGAGCTCATCAGTAACTAGACCTCAGTGTCAGTGAAAGCAGGCAGGCCATTTCTGGAGCTTTTTAACAGGATTAGCAAGCAACTGTTTTGCATACGGTGTTTTTGTGAACTGACCTTTCAAACACCTTGAAGGAATTAGTGCTGAAGTTGGTTGGGTGGGGAGGAGAAACAAACTCGGAAAAACTGGTTACATCATTCACTACTTTTCTGAGAATTAATGTTATGGCATGCTTATTGATGTTACTCAGCTTTGTACCTACGCAATAAGATGCAGCCAGTGTACTGAGATATGCATGTTAGTGTTTTTGGTTTTTCTTATTTTCATTAGCCAGAATCCCTGCTAACATTGTCATTTTTATTTCGCGTTCCTTTTTCTGCTTCCTATATCTATTGTTCAGGTTCCTAGGATAACCAGTCTCTTTCCAAGGACGACTTTCAGGCCACTTTTTTCAACCATACAAACAGCTTCTTTGTTCAACTCTCATCCTTTTGAAGCAGCCATGTTTGGGGTGGCAGGGGCTATGTATTATCTCTGTGAGAGAGCTTTTACCAGCAGGTGGAAACCCGCAAAGGTTTGCCTCTTTCTGCTGGCTTTGGAAATCTTTACAAGCTAGTTCCCCATAAGGGGAGCACTTCCTAAGCTGTGCAAGAATTAACAGTTTAGGTTGCAACAGTAGTCCTGATTGATTTGACTTTAGAATTGATTTCAGTGTTTGTAGGATACTTATGTCTATCTACATGCTTCAGTTACTTATGGGGGAAAAATAATCAGTTGTGAAAGGACAGCAAACTAAAAATGCAACATCACAAGACTGTCAGTAAGACAATTCTTAAAGGCACAGTTTATAAAGATCCTGAAACCTAAGCAAGTAAAACTATTGGTATTATGATCCTTGAACTAAGGTGAAATGATTAAGATGTTGTTGCCTTAACAGGATATGTTGTATTACAGAACACAATGCCATTTGTAAACATAATGTTACTTGAAAAAATGGTTTTGGTCTTTTAATGCTTTTAAAGCCTTTGTAAACAACAGAACTTTCAATATTATTAGTGCTAGTCTTTTCCAGGGTAAATGAACCAACCACTTCAGAAGAAAACAGGAGCTTCTCTGCAACCATTTTTAATTGAATATGAATTGGATCTTTTTAAAAATTTGGTTTCTGAAATTTAAAGATCTGAAATTTGGTATATTTTTCCTCTCATGTATGGCCTCAACCAGAAAATGAAATTAGAAACCCACTGCAAAAGAGAAGTTAGTTTAGAGAGATCCAGCCAGGTTTTGCAAACTGAAGCTGTTTTATATTAAGTGTCAAGAATTTAAAAATGTTTAACCTGAGTTGCATAAATATGGGTTTCATCCAGCACTTGATCATTCAATACTTAACTGTTGCAACTTATCTGCATAAGTGGTGATAAGTTTTACAATACATGTGGTATAATGAATATACTGGTATGGAAACAGATACTACTAATAGATGTTCATAATGAGTTATTTAGATGAATGCATACGAAGAATGATCTGCAAAGCACTTATTTCATATTATGGCTATATAATTAAGACGGTGTATTGTTCTAAATATAAATTTATCCACAACCATGCATTTTGGTGTGTGCTGTGACTACGTGTTCAATAAATGGCAAATAAATCCTTAACAGATTAATGGACAAAAAAGTATTATTTTATTGTGACTTTTTTCTCTTTTAATAATAAGACTTTAAAATTAAAATGGGTACAAACCCAGAAAAACAAGGAAATTCAGAAGTCACATTCTGTCCTTAACATAATCTATTGTGCAGCAGTATTACAGGGGACATAGGACGTACAGCATCCATGTAAATTCTGAGTTTGAGCTGCAACTCTAAAAGTTGTTATTTTGGTGAACTTTAGTCAGTGCTTAGTTTAATATCTATTCATTTAATTTCAAGACTTTGGAAGTTAGGTTGAAACTAAATATTCTTTTGAGAAGAAAAATAATCAAATATTCTGCAGAATCAGCCTGAAAATTAACTTTTGTTTAATGTTGCATTAAAGTTTTGTTGTCCTTGTTTAACCTCTCAAATTAAAACATTAGCATTTAAAAATGTTAGCAATTTTATTTTTTGCCTGGTAGCTATTCACACTTGGCTTAAGGATTTTTTTTTTATTGTTGGAAGAACAGATCCAAATCATTTTCCTGCTACCCAAAGTACTAGACTTACAGATCTTCAATGAAATAGCACATTCACAAATTAAATGAGTCTTTACTAGGGCTTTAAAAATGCATCATGTCATATATTTATCATGTGTCGTCAAATGTGAAAAAGTGATCTTTAAAAACATCATAAAAAAGATTTTGTTGCCCTCAGAAAGAACTAAATCTGATGCCAAGTACATTTTTGGAGTGGGGAAGGGATTCCAGTTAAGAAATAGCTTTTTAAAAATTGAAAATTGTGGTCGACTAAAAGCATTCAGCCCTGTTTACTCCAAACACCACCTTAATATCTCACACTGTAGAAAATAAGTCTCCGACTGACATTTTCTGCCCAACATTTGCCCATCTACTTCCTCCCCAAAGTCTGTATGCTGTGTATCAGTGCTATTTTTATGGAAAGGATCTAGAATGCAATACTGACAGCTGCTGGTTAGCTGAAAGGTTGCTAACAAGCAAAGGGTTTGTTTTGGGTGGTTTGGTTTTTTTTTTGCTTGTGGAGTTTTACTCCTCTCAGAGCAAATCACAGTTGGATTTGGCATGGTTTGGGTTTTCCAGAAACCCAAGCTTCCTCAATGAAGATACAAACCGGAAGATTGGCTGTTAAAAGAAACCAAAATTAACTTAATTTTAGCTGTTTGTGGGTACTTTTAAGCAGGGTGAAGTTTCTGTGTGTTTCCTTTCTAGATAGGTAAGAGAACAGTTCTTAAAAATGTGGTGGTTCCTAAATGCTAATGTTTGCCAGGGCTGCAACACAGATCTTTTTTTTTAACTAATTGAAAGACAGAACAGAATTTGAATTCTACCTAAATTGAATACTACTTTATAACCAATCTGAATGATCACATTGCTATCTAAATTATATTTCAAAACTACATGTACAGTACTGCCAGCAAAGTGTTGGTGAGTACAAAACTTTCCTGTATTTACTCAAAGAACATTACATTGCATTGTTACTTTACAACAGTAGTCCCTCTGGGCTAACTGACAAGGTGCATAATACCTAAAGGGATGGGCATTCCTAGTGCAGCATCTGTCTTTCTGTTAGAACTGTGTAATCAACTAGAGGGCTGGAATAATGCTTTTTATTCTATGGTGCCAAAATTAGATGCTGTATCTTCAATGTTGCAATTATGTTGAATGTACGTACTTAAATATATATGGAAATTTCTCAAATAGGAAGTATTTGGAACCTCTGAGTGGTTCTCTGTCAGTAAAAACACAATATTGGATTAACCATTTTGCCCAGCTTTATATTTTAACATTATTTTCAGAAAATTTAAATTGCCATTTTTGTCATTCAGGGTGGAAAGGAAGGCCATACACATTCATAATTTTCAAATCTATGATTATATCAACAATCATCAATGTGTGGTACCACTGAATAAAAAAAAAATCTCTTAGAGTGGGTTACTAACTGCTTTCTTTGGCTATTCTGGGCACCACAAAATTTCAGAGAAGTGGCTTGTTTTTATAAACAACACACTTCCAAGGTTAACAGCTCTAAGCATTGTCTTTTTATAACTGTATAGTAAATCACCCTGTGCCCTATTAAATTATAACACGCATTATAATTGGTTAATAATAATAACAAATTCATAATAAATAAAGCAAGCAAATGTATGCAGGTATCAGATGGTATGTGCTCAGAGAAATAAACGAGAACATTTCTCTTGTTTGCAGTGCTATAAAACCTGGATATCAGACCATTAGAATTGCATTTAACCAGTCTCCTAGCTGGTTTGAAGCTCATGTGATGCCCATAGATGAGCCAATGCTACTCCGTTTGAATGGTGAAATCTTCTGTCTCTGAAGTTACTAACCAGGTGGCTGGCTTTCTAGGTTGGATTCTGGAAAATATGGGCTTCATAGTAATATCAATTTTTGACTTACAGGAGGAATTTTGTTACCCAGTGGAATGCCTAGCTCTGACTGTGGAGGAAGTCATGCATATCCGTCAGGTACTAGTGAAGGCAGAGTTGGAAAAGTACCAGCAGTATAAAGATATCTATACTGCCCTTAAGAAAGGAAAGGTAAGCCTGGTTCAGTTGTTCCACAATAACCCCTTCACGGAGAGTATTCGCACGTTATGTAGTCTCTGACCTCAGGGGTCAAGTGTCCCCACTCCCTTCTACTATCATTCCAGTGTGTAGAGTGTACAGAGATGATTAGAGCCAATGGCTCTATATTGTTTTGTGCCAGCTTCTCAGACTTAGTTATTCACGCAAGTGTCGAGCCCCCACTATAAAATGGATGTTCTTCTCTACAACAAACATTGCAACACTTGTCAGTCACATTCCAATAATAGAAAGTGGAGCTTTTGAAACCAGATGAAGTTTAAAAATTGACACACGTTCAATCTTTGCAGAGTTTTCCATATAGAATGAGTACTGATCAAAGCCTTTTTATGAAAAGTAGACAATCAGCCATGTCAGTAAATTCTTCTAATTAATTTGTAATGAAATTGGTAAGGAATCTTTTCCCCTGACTTGGCTGATTTATTACATTCTGAATTTTAAAGAAAGTAGGATTATTTTAAGTTTCCATTGTTCTCAAAAGATAAATAAAGTGCATTAGTCTTTTGCTCATGGGATGTTGAACCTTAGGCATGACTTATAAGAAGCAGGGGCTTGTAAGTAGCAAGCTAAGATGAAACAAAAAGTGCCAGGGCAATCATGCATTGTGGGACCTCATGAGGGGTGATAACAAAGAACCCATCTATCAGTGTACTTTAATTGACAGAGTGCAGATCAGAAATAAATATATGTATTAACCACGTCTCCATTCCTTCTCCTTGACTCCTGCCTGTTGACGTAAGAGTAAATGCATCTTCAGTCTGTTTTTTCAAAGGTTAGGCATGTGTCATATATTTAAGGGTCACAAGGGACTGTTATCATTTAATCTGATTTTGTGCATAACAGGCATAAAACTTAACCCAATAAAATGCGGGTGTCCCAGGCCACAGCTCCTCTCTGTTGTTTAAAAATGTCCAAATGTGTTTGAAAGAGTAGAAATCACGGAATTGTACCTCTTTGTTCCTGCTCTGGCATTGTCTTTTTCTGTGAATAGATCTTCTCCCTCTCTGGTGTTTAACTTCTTGATATATTTATAGAAAACAACACAAGGGGTCTAAGAACCTGAGATATGCTAAAGGAAAGTGCTGGCCCATTGCACCTTGTGGACTCTAACCTTGTGGACTATTCTGTTTTTATTAGCTCTGTTTCTGTTGTCGAACAAGGAGGTTTTCTTTCTTCACATGGTCGTATACCTGTCAGTTCTGTAAGAGGTGAGTGTTTGACAGCTGGTATTGTATTATAGTGAAATGCTAGGATTCATGCATTGGAAACCTCACTGGTTTTATGTTTCACCATTGTTTTCTTTTGTTTTTAAAAGTGCAGTTGTGAACAAATTAGTATGTAAAAATGGCTCCGCTTACTTCCTGTTGCATAGTCTGTGTTGTTCAGGTGTTACAATGACATGAGAGAAACGATACTAATATGTTAGCCCTGCAGAGCCCTCACATATGTGGGGAGGAGTGAGTGGGAATCTATGTAAACTGCATCATCAACTGCAGACTCTTTATTATTGTGTTTACTCTCATACCATGTGCATCCTTTCCACAAAAATTAGCCGTCTAAAATGGGCATGCATGTTTTAAGCGAGGAAGCTGATTTCCATGCCAGGGCACAGGGATGGCTGCCTGGTTCTTGCTCCTTGCTGGCTAGAGGCAAGTGAGGGGGGAGTCTGCAGCTACAAGCTATTGGCTTAGCCAAAGTTGCTGTCATTTCAGCAATGACTGTGACTTGGTTCAGTCTCTAGCTTTTGGAAGAGCAGGTGACACTGACTGTGCTCCATGCAGCTGGAATTTAGCCATGACCAGAAAAATCTTTTTTTTCTTAATTCTGCCTTCCCAAAACAAGGTGTGTATCTTATTTGGTGGTTTCTGATACATGCAAAAATGTGGTATTTGCAGTGACATGTTGAAATCCTAAGAAACTCCATTTCCATTTCAGTTTGCAGCAGTGGCAGCTGCAGGTGGAGGGAATGTTTACTTCTAAAATAAGCAGGTTTTATAATGATAATGCAAGAGGCAGTATATCAAGAGCTCCAAGTTGTCATTGATTTTCATTATCATTTTTAAAGAATATACTAGCCTTTATTTAATGGAGGGAGGGGGTGTAATTTATATTTCTCTTCACTATTTTGTTTGTAATCAGTATTTCTTGACCAGGCCTTTTCCTGGGTTTAAGCTTCAGCTTCAGATTGAAGACAGAATAATAAATCAGCTTCAGAAATAAAATGTATAGATTTTAGAACAGTTAGTAGAAAACAGTGTAAATACTGAAAGTTTACATTCCACATTATTTTATTTCAGTATTATTTTTTCAAGTTGAATGATTTATACTTTTACTTTTCTACACAGGCCTGTATGTTCCCAATGTTGCAAAAAAGTAAGTTAAGAAATGTACAATTTGTCCCTTTCTGAAAAGTTCTGTCTTTGGTAAGGATATGTCATATTCTCATTTTCTTGTTCCTGTAATAGATGCGATTGCCATCAAAGCCATATTCCACTCTTCCTATCTTTTCTCTTGGACCTTCTGCCTTGCAGAAAGGAGAAAGTTTTATGAGACCTGAAAAGCCATCTACCAGCCATCACCGGTCACTGAGGAGTATGCCCAGGTGAGAGACCTCCTAAGTTTAGATGCATGTACTTTGGTTCTTCATAATATCATCTTCTAAGGTTAATAATAAAAGAGATGCAATTACTTGGGTCTGCTTTTATAGTTGGTTTTAATTATTCAGTTTTAGCGGTATCCTTGTAGAAGTCTGAAAATAAATTATTTTCCTTATCAATTTTGATTTTCCATCTGTTAAAAATTGAAGCTTTTCCTTTCATTTTAAGAGAAGGTAGACACTCAGCTTGATCCTTTTCATTTGCCAGTCAAGAAATATAAGCTTTATATATCTGTATAGAAGTAGCTGACATGATATTAACAATATCAGTCTATATTGTGGTTGAAAACTATACTAAGACCAGAACAACTGCATCCATGCAAGACACCTACAAAATACTCTGTTTTTTTTCTAGTACAGCTAGATTCTTAGAAGGAAAAATTTACAGCCTGGGATTAGTAACTAAATAAAAAAATTTCCTATATGGAGTGATCAAACTCATTCTGCTTCTAGCCATGAATTTTCTTCAATTTGGCCTTGACAAGATTACAGAATAACATTTTGAACACAGGCTGTTGTTGAAACCACTCACAGAAATAATATGGAAAAAGAGTATTTTCTGAGATGATCAACTACACTCCTGTAAAATCTGTTCAAGCCTCTCTCTGTTAATCACTTCCGCCATGGTGTTTGCAGATGATATAGCCAAGTAAGACATCCATTTAAAGAATCAGAAAATCCTTTTTGCCAAATCACACTTTTCACTAGCCTTCAGTGAATAGCCATGTAATCTTACTGATATCTTCCCATCTGCATCCTCTTTCTGCTATTTTTCCCCTCCCCTGGTTATGGACGAGGGGGCAGCAACGTTTATGTAGTCTCTCATTTTTGGAAGTGTGTCTCCATTATGACCCAAAGATGGGCTAAACTCTAAATAATGGTAATTAACTATAAATAATGGTAGTAAGTAAGGGACTGCTTCTGTCTCTCTCAGGTTGCCCTCAAGGTCCAAGTCTGTGGATAAGTCAAACGAAGAGCTACAGTTTCCCAAGGAGTTAATGGAGGACTGGAGCACTATGGAGGTGTGTGTGGACTGCAAGAAATTTATTTCAGAAATCATCAATTCAAGTCGACGCAGCCTCTCTCTGGCCAACAAGCGAGCCAGGTTAAAAAGGAAAACACAGTCATTCTACATGTCATCCCCAGGAACCTCTGAATACTGCCCTTCTGAGAGAACTATCAATGAAATCTGAACCCTGTGCCTTTTTCTTTTTCTTTTTTTGTCTTCTTGAGATCCACATCTGTGAGAGATCAACTGATTGTCTTTCTTTCTCTTTGTTTTACTTACTGGGCTTAAATTTGCATTAGGTGGCAGAGTTTGCTAGTTCACGGTTTCCAGAGATGCTGAATAATACATTCATGTTTCTGCAAGATGGCAACAGGTCAGCCAATAATTCATGTGCACTGGAGGAAAATAATAATTTGAAATTGTTGCCTCTGTGCTTGGAAGCTAGAAAGCCTTTAGTTGCATTCAGATTTTTTTTAACCAAACTGAATCATTTTCAGGAGAGGCGCTGAAATGTATGCCTACTGGAGAACCAAATCTAGCCATGTCAATGTTAGCACAGTTTAAGCAGTAAGTCATATTGGCATTATCAACCGAATAGTGTTCATGTTCTAGTTTATATGGCACACACAGCCATGTACACTACACCAAATGCCTAGTGTGGGCTGTGTAGCTCATATGGTCTCTTAGCACAAAACCAAGAACAATTCATGAAGGGTTTAAAGTGATCTTTCTTTCAGCTCTGAGATCATGGTTTAGCATGGGACTTTATCTGTGTTCCAGTGCAAAATTGGTGTATGCCCAAAGGGGTGGTCATTTTCCCTGAGCTGCTGTACTTCTAAGCCCTGGCATATTTGTAAGTGTCTCCTGTGCAGGTCTTAGTAGTTTATGTCTTATCTTGAATGTATTATGATTATTGATGGTAGCAGTAGTAATAGTAATACTTTTAGTAGTAGATAGAGCTGTAGACTTTATGGGGAGGGTGGGGAATAAGTGGGGCTTCTAATTTTAACTGAATTCCTGTAAGTATGTAACATGGTTACCCAGCAAGAAGTGTGGGTAATGTGTATATTTGTATTATAGTGGAACACAAGCACTACTATAATTATGTGCCTGAGATCGTATCCATTATAAACCCCATTTTTTC